CCAAAGCAACTGAAAACGATTGGTGCGTGTCAGCCATATGACGAAATTGCAACGATTCTGGGCTAACTGTGCTCTGCACGAACAGTGATGTGAACACTGGTGGTTTTTGGTCTCATTTCAAAGACCGGCGGAAACAGCCACAAAGACAAACAACACTGAAACATATCTACAAATAAAACAGAATTAATACTGCTTAGTTCTATATAGAATATAAATTCATATTTATATATCTATATATATATATAGAGACATAAAAAACATGTGTTATATATACATATGTAACTATTTATTTCCACGTGCATGGCTATGTTTTATGGAAATGTTTCGCTTCAGGTTCATCCTCGGGTTCGCATTTTTTATTCCGTAAATGGGATCAAACCCAAGCATGCCACGTCTTGAATGCGGAACATGAACCACTGCATGAGTGCCGCTGCATGTGAGCATCACGTCCTCAGCAGCAACAACATGTTCAAAGCCATCTTCAAACAATTCCACGTGGTCTGCAGGAACACTTCTACTGTTATAAATTAAAAGGGTGAAATCATATTAGGCAAGAATATATATGTTTTCTTTTAGAGACCCTCCCTCCCTCCCATTGGGCTTGCATGTCGGGAACAGCACTGTGAGCTCAAGCCTACGACGCAATTTGGACGTCTTTCCAGTTGCTGTGGATCAATCATTGCATTGGTCCTCGTGTGCATCCGTGGATAGATTGATCCCTTCCAAACATCCATTGGTTGATCATTTCATGCATATGGCGAATGGAGCCATGCCAACCTCCAAAGCAACTGAAAACGATTGGTGCGTGTCAGCCATATGACGAAATTGCAACGATTCTGGGCTAACTGTGCTCTGCACGAACAGTGATGTGAACACTGGTGGTTTTTGGTCTCATTTCAAAGACCGGCGGAAACAGCCACAAAGACAAACAACACTGAAACATATCTACAAATAAAACAGAATTAATACTGCTTAGTTCTATATAGAATATAAATTCATATTTATATATCTATATATATATATAGAGACATAAAAAACATGTTATATATATACATATGTAACTATTTATTTCCACGTGCATGGCTATGTTTTATGGAAATGTTTCGCTTCAGGTTCATCCTCGGGTTCGCATTTTTTATTCCGTAAATGGGATCAAACCCAAGCATGCCACGTCTTGAATGCGGAACATGAACCACTGCATGAGTGCCGCTGCATGTGAGCATCACGTCCTCAGCAGCAACAACATGTTCAAAGCCATCTTCAAACAATTCCACGTGGTCTGCAGGAACACTTCTACTGTTATAAATTAAAAGGGTGAAACCATATTAGGCAAGAATATATATGTTTTCTTTTAGAGACCCTCCCTCCCTCCCATTGGGCTTGCATAGATGCAAGAGCGCATTCCATCCCCGACAATTTCTATGAGCGCCTTCCACAATATCTTCAACACATGCATTCAAACAACTCGACAGAAGTCCTTGGCATGGTGCAAGCCGCTCCTACGAGCAAATCTAAATGAAAAATGCCAGAAACCGCCAACTCAGCAATGACATGGGGACTCCCCCGTACCAGAAATAGCGACTAGAAGAATGTAGACATAGCTGTGGTGAATTGTGGCCCCTGACATCATCAGTGTTCATGATGTCTCAAGAAAGTTCAACCAGTTCTTGTGCACCTTCCTCCCCTTTGTTGGTCTTTTGGCGCTGCATCATTTTTTTCGCGGCTCCATGAATGATATATCAATCGAATCAAAACCTGTGCATTCAAATGAGGCAAAGCAAAGTAAGCAAAAACATCATGTCGTGGCAAGCCAATGATCACTCATGACATGCGGTCCAGAGGCAACGCACCCATGTCCAATGAGTGCACAGAAAAGATGTGGCTCGGAGGACAAGACAGTTCCCCATGTGTTCCCATACCCTTTGCAGTTATCATCCTGTTTTGACCACTGCGGTGCAGACTGCTCCATACGGCCAGGCGGGGCCATCCACTCGTGGATGAAATCAAAAAGACCGGTTGAGATGTTACACTCAACCTAAATGGTGGATGTGCTAACTGGAATCGGCGGTAGCCCTCATACATCAACCAGTTCGTGGAGCGGCACAAATGGACGTCTCGCTGAGGAAAGACTTCCTGCTCTGACTAGCAATGTGAAATCAGCAAGTGCTGCTTTCACAGAGCGTAGAAAGAATCGCATCTCTTCATCCAACAGGTCTGAGGCAGCAAATGCCCAATCTTGCAGCAATATAACAGCGGCGTCTAGGTCTTGGATCCAGGCCATGGCCTTGGCTGCAGTCATGGATCTGGTATAGGTGAGCACTGTCGGAGGGTAAGGTGATGATGTGATCCATTGGTCAGCACGATATGGGGATTCGACCCCTGGCACCTCCAATCGAACCTGCGTCAACATGGAGCATAGAACTGCAAAGGAAACCCAATGCATCTGCGTAACCACCGTCCGACATGCCAGTTCGAGGGCATCCACCATGCGCTGGACTTGCTCCCATCTGGATTCTGCTGCTTCAGCATTGCACCAAAGTCGCACGAAGGGCTTGAGGCGCAGTGACTCATCTTCCATGGGAAGTTTTGGCATTGTGCCGCAGCTGCAGGGCCACACCGAGTTGAAAGTTGGTACTCCACCCTCACAGCGTACTTGAACCTCAACAGACTCCCGGATAACAGTGGCCGTACATGCTGTGTGCAATGAAGCTTTGAACGTGCGACACTCCTGCAAAACTGGGTGGTCATGCATATCCATAATGCAACCTGCATGTTTTCATTGTCACACTCCTATAGCCGCTTTGCCTACGCGGTTCTGACCGTGAAAAACTGGATGGTCATGCACATTCACATAGCAATGTGCATGCTTTCACTGTCAAACTCTTATCACGCGGAAATCTTTTTTGGCATCCTCCCTCCCTCCCTCTGCCAAAACAGGTGCCGCTTTGCCTACGCATTTCTGACATCATTCTGACACCCTTGCTCCTCTGGTCGCAGCAGCACCATCGCGTGGTATACAGCTCCCGTCCTGCAAATGCGGCATGCACCACACTGTGGTGGAGAAGATACAAGCTAGACTGAAAGCAACATTCAGCAAGAACTACGAGTCGGAATTTTACTCAGACGAAGCCTAGACAGCGAAGTATTCACCCGGGTTTCTCGAAACTGCCAATGAGCACTTCTCGGTTGGAGGCTATAGAGGCATGCAAACAACGCAATTTTTTGTTCGCAGTCACAGCCAGGAACTTGCAGAAGGAAGCTGGCCAGAAGTCGATCCATCCGATTTTAATGCAATGCATATCACCTCCAAAAATTAACACCTGATTGCCAGGTGGTTGACCTCCAGTTCAGGGCGCCACTCGTCACAGCGTTCTTCTCCTTTTTCAATGGTTGTATTGGCTTCCACCCAGACAGAATGGATGTGGACATCTTTTGAATGAAACACCCATTGACCACCACCTCTTGAGCGATTACGCAACACATTTTCAAAGTTCACCCTCACCTCCAGTATGACGCGGTGATATGCGCACTCAAATGGGAATAGTTTGTGCCCTCTCGCATACCAACGCGCTGTGTCCCAGCGAGGGCTTACGTAAACACCAGGTTGCCAAAACTCGTGCCCCAGGTCAATGCTGTGAGATTCCAGCAATCTGCCAATGCGCACAATAGCGGCCAATGAATAGAACCACGTTCCATGATATGCACGCAGCCAGTGCGCCGGAGCAGGTTTCTTCTTGCTCAGAAAATGGAAGTAGCCGTTCCTTTCCAAACCAGGTGTCAAGAATTTGTGCAATTTTCTGGCCTTCAGCCAACTTTCAAAATGTATTCTGCCGTTTTTTAAGCAGTAGGCCTCCGCTGGTTTTATGGCCGGCTTACCACGCCCCCGAGCAACCAACCGCCATTGAGCAACTTTGGCTCCCCTGCTGAGTTCAGATTGTTGGACTTGCCATGCAAATTTGGCGCAGCGTCTTAGCAGCCTTAGATTTCGCAAGGCTGTGCTACGTTTGAAATACCGTCTCAGCATGGCAGGCACGCTTCCTGGAGTTTGCGAACCAAATGGCTACGAACCACCCGGATATACTATTGATAATATTGGCTTAGCGATCAGAAACCTAGTTCAAGATCCCAGGGTCCATTGCACAGGAAAGACCAGCCAGGAAACAAACCTGCAGAAAGCCATATTCATCTTGCCGTGTGCCCCCACCGGTCCTCTCATTTGTGGTCAGAACGATTCGGACGTGATTTGGACGCAACGAAAGTTGCTGCGGAGCACTCAGTGCATTGATCCCCATGTGCACCTGGACCTGTGGACAGATTGATCCCTTCCAAAGCAATTAAAAACGACTCCTGTGTGTCAGCCACATCATGAAATTGCCACGATTCTGAGCCAAGTGTGCTCTGCACGAACACTGATGTGAACATCTAAGTGCATGGTCTGATTTCCACGCAATGATTAGTCACGATGCTCTGAAATCTGTCGAAATCACATATTGTGATCAACTTGTTTGTCAAACTCACCAACGCTAAGGTCTTTCTTGGCATCCTCCCTCCCTCCCTCTGCCAAGCTGTCGCTTTGCCTCAACATGTCGACCTAAAATTCGAATGCGCAAGTATCCTGATAGAGTTCGAATGATCAACAATGTTCAAAGCCTCGACAAACAACAAAGGCAAACTGTGATTCTTCCTTCAGACCCAACCATCGCAACGACATGAAACTGGCAATGGCACCGGCTATGTTTTGCTTTGCTTTCTCCACAGTTCATTGAAAGCTGCTAGTTGCCTGCAGGCAAGCAAATAGTCTGTTTTCATTTTTCATGGCGGCACGCCTTTTTTTTCAGGCCAGCTTTGGGCCTTAGTCAGAATGTATTGCAAACATGTAGTTCAGGACGCCGTAGCTCTACGGCATCTTTCAGCATCGTTCCATAGCCAAGCTCAGGCTCAACAGCAAGACACACAGCTGAGCAGAATACGTTCGGTTCTCCAGTCAAGACTTGCCACCTCTATTTCCGTTTTCTTCTCGGCGGCTCCTCTGCCCGTCTCTCTAAACGTTCCGCTAAGTTCCGGTGGCTGCTGTCCGGTTTTCTCTTCTGCGACCGCTGCGCCACGGCAGCATCCCACTCAGCAGTGTTGTACACATATTCGTTTCCCAGACCTTTATGCCGAGCTGGCAGGCAAGCGAAAGAAGGAAAGATTTTCAGATCTGCTTGGCGCAGCGTCACAAGCTTTTGGGTCTTTTCGTATCGTTTCTCCAATTCAGCAAAGACATGGATCAAATACTCGGGAGGGCCATTTTCAAAAATGGTCCAATCTGGTTCCCCATTTGCATCCTCCGGAAAATTTAACAGCAAGGTTGTTGCGAGGGACGTGGCCCTTCCAAGAATCATGTAGTAGTGCAACCACTTGTCATCATTGCCATCCAGCAGTTTCAGGTCAATAGTATGGCCCATTGGCACTGATTTCTCATCTTTGGCCGTTTTACCTTGCATGTTGTTAAAGGTTCCTACCCCAGCTGGAGCTATGGGTAGCTGAGAACTTCGAAGGCCAACCTTGATTCTAGGGACTTTCTTGCGCTTCGGCACTTCATTGGGATGGTTGACTATGGCAGTTGCTTGGTATTGCAAATCCCAGTCAGCATTGGTAGGCTTCACCAAGTACACGCCTGGTCGGCCAGTACCCGTAAAATCAGCAGTGCAGCCATGAAGCCGAATCTCGACCCAACGTGGAACCATGTCGAGCTTTACCCAACCCCTACTCCAACATGGATGCCCTTTGTGTGGCATACCTCCAGGCCTGTGCAACTGACGAGGTAAACCATACCGTTCTTCTTCGTGGAAGCCAATCTGTAATATTTCTCCTGTTGCCTCCTGAACCACTTCTGGCGGACAGAGTTTGTGAGTTACTTTCACTGGCATTCCAAGATATAAAGGGCAAAGCCCTGCTAGCTTCCCTGTATCAGTCATGTTCACATGCCGTAGAGCGCTGCGTAGCAAAGCCTGCAGATCGTCCGGCGCAACCGCCCAACCAAAAAAAAAGGTTAGAAACAGAAAACAATAGATTGCATGCAACAAAAAGCCAAGGCTCCTTGTCATGAGCATGTTGCTGTGCTTGTGCTCTGTCAACACGTTGTGATAAGAACAGAAGTTGGCCACGAGATGCCGATAGCCTTCCCAGACATTTTTCGAACACCGGCGCCATTCTCCAATGCGCGCGACTCAAATACGGGCAAAAGGTTTCCCAATAATACTGTGGTTCTCCTGCACGGCTATTTTGCAAAGCTTGCGGACCCCGACTAGCACGGGCGTTGCGGGCAGCCCACACTTGCTGCATCCGCGAAACCTGCTCCCAGTTCACCGCACTGTGCATCCCGTTGCAAAAGTTATTGTCTGAAAAAACATCCGATCCAAGCACCGATTTAGGGAATCTATAGAATAGCTTTGCTCGTGGATCTTTGCCACCCAATTGAATACGACTCAAGATTTGTTGCCTCAATGTCTCTGGTACTTCTGCGCCGCCGACAGTGCGCATAATCTGCAGCAGACGGATCAAGGGATCGTTTTCCTTGAATCGGTAGGTCCCTTTAAACTCTACGCAGGTCTCCGCAACCAAATCAAAAGTTTTCAGGCCTAACATCTCCATGTCGGTCAATGGCCGCACGCGGCCTTCATTCGCATATTCTTTGCGGACATTAGAAATGCTTCCATGAGGCTAGGGCTCCCTTTCGGCACTGGCCGGAGCTGGGCAAAGTCACCTGCGTCAACATGTAGCAAAGGATTTCCAAAAGGTGCTTGTTTCGGCCCCACATCTTCAATTTGCCCCGCAGCCCGTTTTCCCCAGTATGCACGAGACGACAAAGTTCCATACAGTCCAGGGGCGGCAGCACCCACCTCATCATTGTAAACAAAGACAGCAGTCCCCCAAGTCGTTTTCAACTTGTTCTGAACCTTCCGGGACGGTTCCTCTGCTGTAAACTTTGCACTTTTCAGTAACCCTGCACAAGCATGCATGGTGTCGCCTGCGATCAGGCGAGCAGCACTGTTGGTGGAAGCTTGCTTACGACATTGCCCTGGCATAAACCACTGAAAAACGGCCATGACAACTTTAGTCAAGCAATAAGTTTTCCCTGACCCGCCAGCTCCATGTGCGAATACACGGACAGGTGGAACCTGCGCATCCTGGATGAGTTGTAAGCGGCCTTCCACAGAATTCCACTCCTTCAGACGACGCTCTGTGAGAGCATATTCCCAGACCCGGTGCAAAGGCCACACGCAACAAATGATCATTTCATATTGCTGTCTGTCCCAAGCTGCCCCACTTTGACACGCCAACCGGCGTGCCATCTCAGCTGGCGATTCAATGGCATTTTCGAAAGTGAATACTACATGAATTTTCGGCACATCTGTTTCACTGGTAATCACACGACTCTGTATATCATCTTCCGATTCAGATTCTCCACCGCCTGGGCCTGTCTTCTCACGGTTATTCTTCAACTCTTTCTGTGCTCGAAGCATTTGATTTCGCTGTGAAATCCAGTCTGCCAAACTCATGCCATCTGTACCACAGAACTGTTTTTGCATCCTCATCTCGCAAGGGCATGCTGCCTTTAACTCTTCAGCGTAAAAATCGCGAAAGTTCTGGAAAAACTTCAAGACATTGTCTTTTTGACCTGACAAACACATCCAACGACAATAATTCTCAACAACCTGAATGCACACAACACAAACTGAATGCAACGCACTAGCCGCTAGCCCCGCGACCTCCTATACAACGTTTGACGCCGCGCCTCGCCCGTCTCTCCAGCCATCTAGTCTGTGAGCAATCTCAAGGACATCGCAATCTTGTATTTCCAGGTGCGGTTTATACTGTAAGCCTTTTTCCTCGGAATATGGCTGCTCCACTACAACATCATAATCATCTCCTGCTTCTCCGCCCGGGGTTTCTCCTTCAGCGGCCAACAGTTTTCCCACGACAGCTCCACCCGCATCATCATCTTCGTCTTCGTTGCTGACAGCGACTGCATTTGGGCGTGGTCTTTTGCGAGCTTCAGCAAGCAAATCCATATTCCATGACACCTCTGCTGTGATGCTGGCACCAAACTCTTCGGGAAACAATTGGTTCACATGAACCCCGGTGCCTGTTCTGACCACCGTCTTCTGGGCATCTGTTCTGCAACTTGACGCAGCCTTGTCCTGGGCATCAAGTGTGTCTGCTATAACCACATCTTCATTCCCTTCACCTTTCACATTCCCAGCAAAACGAAGAATGCAAACTGCGACCACATGTGGCAATGCTGGCAGTACCCCCACACTTGTGGGATGCAGCTTGACAAATTGCGCCTTGCTGTATATCGGATTGATGTCGGATCGCGTCCTCCTCTTTTGTCCCCAGGGACCTTTATAGCAATGCCGAAAACCGCCTCGCAACCAAGGCAAAAGCCATGACTGCACAATGGTCTTTCTGTTGCAACCAGGCACATACCATTCTCGGAATGGCGCCACATCATCCAGAACGCCCACACGACGCTCCAGTTTCAACTTTGCCCAAGCACGCTCTGCTCGGGTCAGTTGCAATGCCTCCCAAGCTTTCCACGCTTCTGTGAAACGTCGCTCGCCCCTGGAAGGCTGAGCTTGCCCGGCAGGCTTTGTGTATCCAAAGAGTATGCCTTGCTGTGACCCAGCCACAGATGACAACACATGACCTGCTAGCCAAGCCACATCTTCGCAACACCCTTTGCACACTCTGCTCGGCTTCATCAAGCACAGATGATACAAAGCATTCGTGGCAGGATCCGCGCTTCTTGTGGGCATGGTGAAGCCAACCATGTAAGGAACTCGCGGAGATGGTTCGAGCACCTGTACGAAGCCAGCATATTTCTTATAATGGTGCACAAAGGCAAAGCTCCATTGAAAGCGCAGGCCATCAGATTTCGGCACAACCCTGACATACATCGCGTAGAGATAATGGCTCATCCAAGCAAGGTCTGGGCCACGGTGGTACCAATCGTCGACAAATGCATCGTTGCTCACTTGGACACTATACTTCCCATCCGCTTGCTCCACTTCGATCAGGGTTAGGGCCACGTCTTCCTCTGTCTCTCCTACTTCCATGGTTTTGGTTTCTTCTCTTCGCAAAGCTTCATGTCCTTTGAGACACAGGGTCAGAGATATTGACACAAGATCCATAAGCCACCAAACACTTGACAATTACCAGCACTTTGAATAGTTTATCACACCTATTTTTTGAACGCCTGTTTTGGGCAACCGGCAAAGCCAGCCAACATGAAAACAGTCCTGCCCAAATTAATCTTTTCGTCAGAACCTGCCAATACTTGTGAGTTCTGAAAGCTTCTCTGCGCGTTAGTAGATGCACTAGCTGCAACGAAGCGCCTTTCAAATAAGAATAGTTTGCAGCGCTCCACAAGCGGATCAGAATGCGTCTCACCTTCTCTTGCCTTTTTTCGGCCTCAGACAAATTCTTACCTTCCAAAGTTTGCACACCGGAAGGCAATCGGCCAGGATCATCCAAGAAACCAGCAGCCTCGAGCTCCAACACTTTCTGCACGCACTCTTTCTCCTGCAGTTCTGCCTCCAACCGTTGCATTCCTTTGTGCATGTACTGCAAAACGCGGCCCGATGTCACATTAGGTTTAGTGGAGTAGTCACAAATGTAGAAGCTAATCTGCACTGCACTTCGCATTGCCGAAACAATGCCGTCAACCACAGCTCTGGAAAAAATCTTCCAGCTTGCATCACGCTGCCGGTCGCCCACCCGTGGCATTTCAGCCACTCCAGCTCTAGGTTCCAACATCCAATAGAAAGTACGGGTAGCAACCATCAAGGCCTTCACCTCTTCTTTTTGCAAGCAGCTCCCGAGGAAACGGACAGTATAGGCTTGGGGCATTGTGACACCTCCGTTCACTAGCAACGAACGGCAGGGCTGCAACGGGCCTTGGCGATGCACCTTGATTTCGGGCGGCAACGGAACGTTGTCATCATCGGCATCGTCCAGGACAGTCCGCAAGTCCTGATAGTCCAAGTTGCCCCTATGGGAGACAATTCCGCTCACCAAGGTGGATGTCTCTCTTGGATGCACACGCACCGTCTGAATGCGGCCAGGTCGATCCAAGCTTTCTTTGGCATTGATCTGACTTCCCAGTCCCGGATGGTGTGGGGCAAACATGTCCAACGTTGCCGCAATGCCATGTTCTTTTTCGAAAGGTGTAGGCATGTACCCTTTGGGAAGTACTGGCTCCTTGCCAAATCTTGCAAACACTCGCTGCACGGCTGCTTTCACCTGCTTGCCACGGCGCAAAACAATGGCCCAACACCACAAAGTCACAAAATGGACGTACCCAAAGCGGCAATGTTCTGGCTTGCCATCCTGCTCACGTCCGCTTTCATACTTGTAACATGACGCAGTATGAGCGTGAATTCCTGCTTGCTCCACAATTCGGGCGGAATCTGCAGCAAAATCAGCTATGTAAGACCTCTCGTCTTTCTCCGCCGCAACTCTGCTTTCTTTCAACGCAGACCAAAGGGCTTGCTTTCGTAGGCACGCACCGTGACAGCAACCAACGCTCTCTTGCGGTGACCTCAAGTACTGTGGGCACATCGACAACACCGCTCCTGTCTGCCGGCAATCCCTTCTCAAACGGCCTATATTATTCACATCATTTGTAGCGTTCGTCTCCGCCTCGCCAATTCTTCCCAACTTGGGGCAGGTAGCAATATACAGCCTGCGCACAGGACACAAGCCAACGAATCTAATACTCAATAAGTCTCTGACGCCGAACAATGCTCCAGTTTGAACAAGCTATCTAGCGGACACCTTCAAAGAAAAACAGCCCCGTCCAACATCAACTCAAATAAATTTCAATCTTTTGACCGACTGCATGGTAACAATAACCATGCTCTTACCCCGCCTCCTCTTCCCGGGTTCCCGCACATCTAGTTCGGCCTTGCCATCAAATTTGTCTGCTGCACGTTGTTTCTCCGAGTACCCTGGCGATTGCAAGTCAAACTCAATATCCATCGGTGATCGGGCCAGCACCAGGGGCACTGAGGCCACGCACGTTGTCTGCATGCTTTCCACAGCAAGAATGACTCTGTCCCGCCATGCACGAAGCTTCATACGACCTTCTTCCGTCGTGCCCTTCAGCAACTCCCGTAGCCAGTCAATTTTCTGCCTGCTGTTGAATATTATAAGTCCATGGCCATGATTGGATCTCCTTCCCTGTTCTTCGATAGGAAAATGAGCACTGGCCACGCTGCAACTGCCCCCAGACCATAGATTGGCAGCTCTGCCATCAGGGTACATGTCCCATCCTTGTGCCCATTGTGACGGAGCATGTTGTCCACGGGCCCTACTCCCAACACATGCATCATGAATAACTGGTAACAGAAAATAAAAAACCTAGTCTGGCTCATAGGGTCCTTGGCGATCATGAGAAGCATTTCTCGCTTTGAAGGGACATCTGGAGTATCTTCCAGCAAGTTCACATAGTGTTCCTCTGCCTCCGCGCCATTGCTTTGTCTGCGTATCTTGACCACTAATGGGTTCCCCAAATCATTGACATTCGGAGTCACGAAAGCACCGACAGGGCCATATCGCAACATAGTGCCCATGATTTGGTACCTCAAGCTCACCCTCGACGCTCACCCTCGACCCCTCCGAGCCCACCACATCAGCGCTGAAAATAATCAATTCCTGTCGGGTGGCCATCCTAAGATCTTAGCCCACCATGGCACTTAACCTTTGTGCAAACTCACGAAAACCAAGCCTTGAAACAACACCGCGCCTTGACAGCTCTGCGCAAAGCTGGCTCCACTCTATCATCCCTTGCGAGTTGATGCAAGCTGCTCGTCGCTCCCAAGGCAGACAACGCCGATCGAAGATGCTCCGCTGAAGTTCGGGCGACCAATTTCAAATTCTGTTGGAAACCTTTCTTTCTCACGTGCATCCGAGCTTTTTTCATAATTTCAGATCTACGCCAGCAGTCGTAGACTACGAAGCGAAAGGCCGTATTGGCGGACCATCGGGGCTGTGCCGTTTTTGCTCGAACCATCCCACCATTGGCACATTCCGGGCAGTCACACTGCGGCCGCCCCTCGCCTTCAACACTACAACAGACATCAACCGGCTCCTCCACAGGCATATATTGCAGTTCGGTTCGACACATCATCATCGCACCCCATTCCTGCAATGACATGAATTTCCGACGGTTCAAGCCATAAGCACCGTCTCCATAGCAAAACAAATCCGGGAATTGCTTGACCCAAAAAGCCGATTCCCAAAATTTCAAGGGTTGCCCTCCGGTCGGAACCACAACAGCGGCTTGCTTGCTTTCAAACAGGTTTTCCATGTTTTTTTCTCAAGCAACGAAAAAAATCTTCATCTCCCATGTCGGCAGCAAGCGCTTGCAACTCAACAAGCTCTCGCTGAGGCCCGGGTTCATCTCCATCCTCTGTTGCAGTCATTCTCCGAACCAAAGTGTCCACCTTCGCAGCCAAAACCTGCAAAAATTCGATCGGATCCGACTTGTCGGGCTTTGCCATATCAACGGCATACGCCTGTGCAGGAAGCTCTTCTTCCTGCGCTTTCCCGCCGTCATCACGGTCTTCTTCAGATGGCTCCTTGTGCAAAATATCCATTGAAACACATTTATCCATCAGACTGGACTCTCTTAATACAGTTACCAATATTACAACAGGTGCAAACAAGCAACCGCGATCAGAGGGAACTGAAACAACATCACTATGATTTCGCAATGATCCATCGCCAAGCTTCAGCAGCTGCACCCTCCGGCTGCACAAAGCCACTGTCCACATTCAGCTTGGTAATGAGTTCTCGGATCACATTTGGAATTCCACATCCCTGAAACATAATCTTTGCAGCCTCTTCGTCCAGCTCCACCTTTTCATATTCTGGGTTGTGAGCAATCAAAAAGCGCACAGCACGGGAATATTTCTCCCAGTCCACCTCAAGCTTAGGAAAGCTAGAAGCTTCACTCACATCTTTTCCACAAAACACCACAGCCAAATGCTCCTGCAAAAACGATCGCAGTATCTCTTCGCTTGCTGGCAATTTCTGTGTGACAAGTACACGGCAATCTGCCTGCGGTAGGGCTATAGTGTTGCCTTTCAGCACCTCCTGTTGCTCCTCCCTGGCAACTTCCCGCAAGGGCTCCGCAACTTCTTTGATCACAACAGCTCTCGCCAGCGCAAGCAGCAGCAAAGTAGCATCTGACAAAGGATTGCCGCGCTCATCTTGAAAGACACCAGGTGGTCGCAGCATCAAATTATCGTTTGCAAGTGCACAAGGTGGCATAGAGACATTGCGCTGTCGCAAGTGATACGCGCAAACCCAGCAAGCCTTGACGGGCAGCGACTGGCCCCGTGCATCCAAACGCACCTCATGCTCCTCGGTCAGAATATCCGTCAAAACCTTCGTATCCAACAACCACCATGCATCTTCCAAGAAAGGATGCTTAACACTAGTGCCACGGATTTGCGACAGAGGTATTTTGGGCCACCGCTTCCTGTACTCATCAGCACTCAAGAGCTCATTCACTTTGCGAACTTGGTCCCTTCTCACTCCGTGCGACAGACCATTCTCCGTCTCAACAGTACCTTCTGGATCCTCCTCATCCAACTCCACGTTGTCCGTGGGTTTGACAAATAAATAAAAATCAGCCAACTCTTCTTTCCATCTTGTTTGCGCGCAGACCGCGCAACTGCCCAGGCCCCGCTCTTCTCCTAGTGTAGCTTTTTTGACATAGGTGGCAGCTCCATCACCGCCGCAGTAACTGTGCGACGATTGCCAAGCATGGTTGGATGCGGCTCGGCGTACTTCTGCGCCACTCACTGGAAAAGGCCCTTCGGATTCTTCATGAAAAAGAACTCTTTTGCGATACTCTTCGAGCAACCGCTCTGGTGCCTGAGCTCCATGCTGCAAATGATTTTTCAGGTGTTCCGCCAACCCTTCTTCGCTATCGACGTTACACCCACACAAGTAGCAGGAAACAGGGCCCAATACGAACACCTCAGCTTGCCTGAAATCGTATCTGCTGGCCACATCTGGCGCAAAGTCTCCGCCTCGACAACACGGGCATAACCACCGAAGCTGCCCTGTGACACTTTCAAGACAAAACGTCACAACATTGTAACATATACTATCATTTTTTCGACCCCATCTATAGACTATAAACTCTCAGATCCAACACATGCAAACACAGGCTGTCCTGGCAGATAGTCCTCCACACATTGTTGGGCGTCCCATGCATTTTTGCCCAAAACTTCGACATACTCTACCTCCGTCGCAGACAATTCGGAATCTTTCTTCCGGTTCACCAGTTTGCGCCAACGCTGTGCCAATTTGTCTTCATCCGTCGTCGGCCCTCTCCTCCGATGCACCCTCTTTGGCATATCGCCACCATGCACTCGTTGAAACATCTCAACAGCGCCCACCACTTCTGCGATCCATTTCTCCACCCAAGGCAAGCCACGTTTCAGATCTTCAGCATGACGAAACAATTCCTCCACCAGACGCTTTTTCTTTAAGCTCGAGATCTTTGAGGCAGTCAACTCTGACACGGTATTCTCCAACGCCCGAACATCACAACCATTGAGCCGCTGCCACAGCTTGCTTCCGTGCAAATCCACCATCCAATGCTTTATTTCTTCACAGGCTACATCCCCTTGGCGCGTCCCCTCTGGTTTGGCTATCAACTTCTGGATAAGCGTGTCTTTGGAAGCTCTTGCTATGTTCACAATGCCACGAGTCTGTGCCAAGGTCTTCAAAGAGACCGTGCCCTTAAGCGGCAGTTTCTCCAGCTTCGCGGCTACCAGCTCCCGGTCATGATGCTCTAAGACTTCTTTCTGCCAGTGATGCAGCAAGATTGCGTTCACGACAGCTTCTTTGTTTAGTTTCTTCATCTCTAGGGGCACATGTAGCCGTTTGGTTAAATCTATCAAAGACAATGATTTTGTGCTCCGAAGCGGCAACTTCCACAGCTCTTCTTCCAGTGTGCCTGCATCAGTAATATCTTTCACTAAGGATACAATACGCCCCAGCTCCCTGCCACCATCGGCATCAGCCATCGTCCTGTGTCAGGAACAAGCACCAATATTCCTTGAAACCTTGCTCTTTACTATTTTCAAGACAAGCTCCTACTCCTTGTTACTGCTTGCTGGGCAAAACTCTGTGTCCTTGTGTTGCATGATTCCAGCACAAGCATTTAACCTGTACCCACTTATCAGGCTGCACGATTTAAAGGTTCGACTGGCTTGACGGGAAACAGTCTCCTTGATCCAAACAGCAACAGTCTGATAGCACAGCGTTCAAACTCTTAGTTTGCAATGATGCATCTGCTTCGGCTCAGTCCGCGGCTTCCTCCCTCCCTCCCTCGCCGCTCATTCATACCCTCCCTCCCTCTGCCGCCGCAAGTTCTACGCGCATGAATACGGACGGCAGCCGGCATGAGTACCTCTGCCAAGCCATTCCAAGCAACCAGAAGAATGCATTCTCATCTCGCTACACCCGGCTCCACTACCATCCAGGGGCACTTCTTCAGCACCTGCAACTATTCTCCCTCTATTGCCTCCCTCTTTGTGCTATCCCAGCGCTGGCTCTTCCTTCCACGCCCCCAAACGGCCAGCACCACTTTTTCAAAACAAAATGATACTCCAGATTTGTCCTGAAACCATCCTCTCTATAATGAATCCCTTTTTGCTTTATCCCAGTGCTGGATCTTGCAGCAGAAAGAAGGGAATAGTAGAAGAAAGCAGATCCGAGAGGAGGAAGAGTCAGAAGAAAGAAGATGCATGCTCGGTCGTTGCCACCGCTCCTCATCATCCCAAGCATCCACTACTAATATCACACCACCACTACAACTTTCCAAGCAACTAGTCACGCTTCGCCGGCAGCTGCTGCAATTGGATCGTCCTACCGGCTGCCGAGTTCACGACACACCTTCTTGGACGTTTGCTGCCAATCTTTCTGCAATTGGGTGAAGCTGCGTTTTTTGCATGCACTTTGTGCGAAGTTCTGACCAATTGGCTACTGATTAGCTAAATGCGCAAAATTCTCAGCTAAGAAGATCAGGTTCGCCTCCCATTCCATCTGAACAAGCAGGCATCATCTTGGCCATTGAGATTCTATGCCATTTTAAGCTCGCCTGCTGTTACCTGCACTCCTTTCCTTTTCCACACGTACCACATCAGCAAATTTCGTGATTGCTTGGCGCTGCCTCCGTTTCTCCCTTTTCCTTTTCCGATGTCGGCACGATATCGGCAGCCATAACACGGCTACTACTACCC